TTGCTAAGTCTGAGGTGGGGATAAAAGTCTGCATGTTGTATATGTTCCCAGGCAACGCTGATGCTGCTGGTCTGGGAAACGGACTTTGAGAAACACTAGCCCAAGCAGTGGTTCCCAATTACAGGATGCTAAACAAACATTGGAATCACCTTAAGGGCTTAAAAAAACCCACAGAATCCAGTCCTTACTAAAGAGATTCTGATTCCGGAGGTCTACAGTGGGACTAGGAATCACTCCCTAGATAAATCTAATATATATCCAGCTTCAGAAACCATTAATCTAAAGATAAATCACAAAACCAATCTCTTAGATGACACTAGCTCTTCCACAACCTACGTCTACCTATCCACACAGATCTTCTAGTCCCCAAAATAAACCCTCAGTTACAGCTAAACCACTCTTCTTACATACCCCCAAATATCGTCAAACTCATTCCTTTTGTGCCACCTACAGTATCCTCTCATTTGTCATTCCACCTCCCGGAAGTGCCATTCCCCCGCTCCTCTCCCTCTGTGAATGCTCCCAGGATCAGTTCACCAACATTTAAAATGTTTCTTGGTCCATTCAACATGTCTCAGATGTGTGAAACACTGTGCCAACTACCATTCTTGCATTCGTTTGTGTGTCTGTGCCACTGCATATCCAGTTTATTGATGGGTGTATAGCCTACTATTACTCAGTAATTTGTAACCTGAAAGAATTTTGAGGAAACTGGAAAATGCAGGAAACTAAAAACAATTTAAAAGTTGTATAACAATTTTGATTGTACAATAACAATTGAAAACATTTAGATGAATCTCTTATTCAGAAAGGCTTTATTCTCAAAGCCGTGCATGAATAATAAAGAGGAGTAGAAAATATAGTTAAGAAACAATCAACCATAGATTAACTCAAGTCATGACTAAGGTCATTCTAAAACATATATAAGGGAAAAAAAAAGATGGGAGCAGAAAAGCAGGTAGGTAAGAGGGGGAGAAACATGGAAGACGACAAAGGAAGTTGACAAAGAACACCCGCCATACCTTGACCTGAAACCAATTAAACACAACATGTGAAATGAAATGTTATTTCTTTGGTAGACCTCTCACCTTGTATTATCAGATAAGTTTTAGTTTTATGTTCTTTACCTGTAAAATAGCTTATGCCAATGGTATATGTGTTCATTAACATGGAATAACAATAGTATTGCCAAGTGTAGGATTTGGGGACTGCAAGTCACGGAGATATAACACAAGTGATAGGTCTTCAGTGTCTTAAACACATCTTGGGGGTGAAGGGAGTGGGGAATGGAAAATGACCGCTAATGGATACAGCGTTTCTTTGTAGGGTAAAGAAAATGTTCTAAAACCTTATCAATGGTTGCACAACTCCATAAATACTAAAAATCATTGAAGTCTATACTTTCAACAGGTGAATCTTATGGTATGAAATTATATCTCAATTAAGCTGCTTAAATAAACAAACGAATATCTCATTCCATAATATGAAGATAGGATCCCCAAATCACCCTTTTAAAACCACTGATCAAGTCACAAAATGTTAATAGTTGAATCTGAATCAAGAGGTATGTGGATGCCCAATGTACTATTCTTATTGTTACAACCTTTCTAAAAGTTTGAAATTTAAAAATTAAAAAGTAATTAACATAAAATGTATCTCAGAAACAACATGGTTGGGTCTTATTTTTTGTTGTTTTTAAACCAATCTGACAAACTGGCTTTTGGTTGAAATGGTTAGTTCATTTACATTTTATGTAATTATTTATATGGCTGATGTAAGCCTAGCAGGTTGCTATTTGTTTTCTTGTCATTCTATCTTTGTTTTATTGTTTGTCTTTCCTTTTTTATTCTTTTTTCTTCCTCTCCTGCTTTCTTTTGGGTCACATGTTTACTCACTACTCAGTTTTATCCCCTTTACAAACTTTTTAGCTATACATCTATTTTACGATTTTAGTGTTTACTCTAGTGTATGCATCCTGAACTTACCACAGTTGGCTCTAACCATCACACCTCTTCATATACAGGCATACCTCATTTTATTGCACTTCACTGTATTGAGCTTCACGATGTCACGTTTTTTACAAATTAAAAGCAAGATTCTCCAACAGCGAGAAGATTAGAACTTGCCTTACTTCCTGCCATACTCACTTTAGTGTGGAGGCCTGGGATTGAGCCTGCAATAGCTCTGAGGTCTGCCTGTATGTATAATGTGAGAAACTCACAGCAGTGCAGTTTCATTTACCCTTCTGCCATCTTTTATGCAATTACTGCCACACGTTGTACTTCTAAATATATTATGAAACACATATATTCTTATTATTATTTTCTTTAAACAGAAATTAAACAATGAGAAAAATGTATTTTATTCTTAGACACACATTTACCACTTCTGGCCCTCTCTATATTTTCCTAGAGATAGGTACTATCTGGTATAATTTTCCTTTTACTATAAAACTATAGCATTTCTTGAAGTCCAGGTCTAGTGGTGACAAATTCTTCCAGCTTTAGTCCATCTAAAAAAATGTCTGTATTTTACTTTCATTTGAAAGGATAATTTCAGTGGATATAAAATTCCAGATTGACAAGTGTTGTATTTTCCATCACTTTCAGGGTGCCATCCATTGATTTTTGGCTCATATTGCTTCTCATGAGAAGTTAGTAAAAAATTTTTATCACTAGAAATGTGTCTTTTTTCCTCTCGCGATTTTAAATTTTTTTCTTTGGTTTTCAGCTACCTGATGACGAGGTATCTAGGTTCTCTGTGTGTTAATCTTGCTTCAGATTTGTTGAGCTTCTTGGATCTGTGAATTTATGTTCTCCCAACAAATTTAGAAATTTGTGGTCATTGTTTCTTCCATAATTTTTTGCCCCACTCTCTCTCTCCCCTCTTCTTCTGTACCTACAACTATACAAATGTTAGACTGCATGATATTGTCCCACAGACATATGGCTTTGTTCATTTTTTTTTCAGTCTATTTTTCCCTGTGCTTCAGTATAATTTCAATTGATTTATCTTCAAGTTTTCTCTGATTCTTTCTTCTACAGTAGGGAATCTGCTCCTAAATCTATCTGGTGAACTTTTCATTTCAGATATTATCAACTTTTTTAAATCCCAGTTATCAGTCACATTTACCTGCTTTTTCACAAGTATAATAGCTGTATGCTGGACATTATGAATGCTTCATTGCTGAGGATCTGGATTATACTGTCTTACTTCACAGTGAGTTTTGTTCTGGCGGGCAATTAATATACAGGTAGATCGGGCTCATACTGTAGAGACTTGGTTTTGGGCTTTGTTATGTGAGATCTAGAGTAACCCTTACTCTGCGCCTAGAACATCCTTATTTCTAAGGCACAACCTCCCTGAAGTCACATCAAAAACACAGGATGTTCAACAAATTTTCCCCACACTGAGTGGTCTGAACACCAACATTTCCAAGCATTTGGCAACTTCTGGAACTTCTATTCAGCCCACCGTCCCAGAGTAGCTCTTTTCCACCAGGCCTTGAGGTGTGCACAGCTTCAGATTTGAACAAAGGCTCAAGGGCTCTCTTTCCAGATATTGGGGCTCCTTCTCTGTGCAATTCTTCTTCTCCACTATCCTGATCCACAAATTCCAGCTGCCTCCACGTCCCTGAACTCTGATCTCTGCTTAAAGAGTCTGCTGCTGCCTGTTTAGGCTTCACTATGCCATAGTTTGGAAAGTATCCCCCAAAAAGCAGCTGGGAGGACTGCGGAGCTCACCTCAGGTGTTCTCTGCTCTCAGCTGACTGTGCTGATAGCCTAAGCCTCCCAGTTTTAGGGCTGCTTACAGCAGGGGGTACTTCATCATGGCCTGAAAATGAGGTCCCTAATTGTAACTATTTTTGAAATAGCTTTAAAATATATATTTATTTCATTCTTAACATGAACATATAACATGAAAGGCACATATTTTTATATGACAGATTGGCAAACCAAGATATAAAATGTTAAATAACCAGCTTTGAAACAATAATGATATTTTATTCAATACAAAAATATTCATCAAGCACCTAACTATGGACTTCTAATAATTGACATAGTGGCAAAAAGAACCTCAGGAAATATATTTGCAATCCATATTCTTTCTACTGAACCATCAATAAACCCCCCAAAAAATGTCTAATAAATGAATAACCAAGAATCAATCATTCAGTCCACCAGGAACACATTTACATTCTCAAAAACTAACTACAACTTCCATTCATGATTTATTTATTCCTGCAAGACTCCTATTTGCCATGCAAGTAATTTCATTCCTACAGTTATATTTTTTCAATTCCCTACACATAATTTTTTTTCATATTAGTAGACAGTATTTAACCAAGACATTTCTATTTAGCTATGTCAAATTTGTGTCAGCTGTCTAACTGTATTCCTAATTTTCATCTGGCCAAATCAAACACATTTTCCTGGCACATGGAGAGAAAAATATAATCAAATTTCTAAATACCATCTCTGCAGCATCATACCAGTCATATTATCCCTCCAATCTTAAACAAATCAATCAGAATTAAACATTTATACTGATAGATTTACTCTCATCTCAAAATAAGCTCTTGACCAGTCATTTACCCCGGGGCAGGCAAGAGCTGACTGTAGGAACATGGTCATAAAATTAAGCTACATGTATGTTTATAAAATAGTGTTTAAGAACATTTTAGTATTGATTACCTTAATATATGCTTACGTCCAGTGAAGTAAAGTACCTTACAACTGAAAGCCAGACACCATACATCCTTGATTGCTACATATTGAGAAGCTCCTTCTAATTTTAAAGCCTGGCAAAAAAAGTTTGTTAAAAGGTCTTTGGAAGATGACAGAAGTTCTTGAGATCAGCAGCCTCAGCTTTAAATAGAAATATGACTTTTTCACTCTGCTTATTGGATTAGGGGACTATCTTAGGTGGCTACTTTTTCTGGCGATGTTCTAGCCTGTTACTCTGAATCAAAATGGCAGCCTTTGTAGAAAGGGCCTTACCTGGAGGACATCTTGGATCTTCACCCACACATCTGCCATGTCATACAATTTGACGTCCTCCTGCTGAGTCAGTGGTGTCACAACGGCGTCCTGCAGGTATCCCAGGACCAGCGAGTGTGCAGTGGCTACAGCATTAAACTTGTCAAACAGCAACTCCAGCAGTTCTAGAAGTAGCCTAGCCGGAAAAGAAAAAAAAAAAAAAGTAAATAACAAACACATACACACAAAGATGATTTCCACTGGCTGCAAGAAAACCACTCAACTAAAGTGAAGTAGTACACAAGAGTGGAAACAGCACAACAGATTTCAACAGGTTTGATTGCAAACAGTTGTAGGATCTGAGCAACTTTGGGAAACTTATCTAAGCCTCAAGTTTCCTCTGCTACAAAACAGAAAGGAGTGAACAATTTAAAAACCAACTGTAAAATCCGTAAACCAGCAGTAGCAACTCAAACATGTGTGTCCTTTTTAACGTACATTAATGATTACAATACTACTATCCAGTATTCATATAGACAGTTCCTCCAAGGAATCAGGCAATTTTTTCCGACAATGGTTCAGGTGTTGCACAGAACATACTATTCCCTAGCAATACACTGGGCACTCTGCTAAGGCTTCTAATCCTTTTAGTCATGGGCAGCTGGGCTTACTACCGTTCAAATGCATGGCCTAGGTTGCCTGAAAAAAATATACACACCTGCCAAGCAATCTGACATTCACCACAGGGAGCAGCTTAGTCAGCCGCATGATCTCATGCTTCATAGTGAGGGATGCTGGACACACATTAGTACATCAATTTTATAGACTCAAGGGCACAGAATGAGGTTGCAAAGCAGCTGGGCCTAGAACAAAAGCTGATTTCCATGTTGGTGCATTTAGCCACCTACTTACTGCTCACTACAGTTCTAGAATGTAGGTGTCGATTCAGAGATGGCTCAGAGCTTTACGTCATGGTAGCCGAGGAATTCCGCTACCACTGTGCCTTCCGGCTGCCCTGGTCGCCCAGGCTCGGAATCCTCTGTTCCTCCTCTGAACTTGTAGAGCACTTTATCGCACTTTTAAGGAACTGAACCACACGTGGCTCACACATGTGACTCAATCAATGTGCGTCCCATTCATTTGCAGATAGACAGTTCCCCTCCCTTCTCCTGTACTGGTTTCCAATGTGGGCACTGCTTGCTCAGCTCTACACTTAGGAGCACTGAGAACAGCGACCACTGGGTTTTGCTGAATGGATTTAATGTGTATACCATGAATGGGCAGAGAAAATTCTGGAATGTGGCCTTTATTGCATATTGTGTGACTCTCAGCTCATAGGTCCCAAATAGATGTATAAGCCAACCTGGAAAGCAGAACAGGAAAACCAAAGAGCTTGTCAGCAGCATTAGTTAACAAGATCTCATTACCATAAATAAGAGGTTATGACCACAATCTCATCTAAACGCAGAACGTATTATCTATTGCTCTGGCTTTTTTACTGCCCAATTATTATAATTAATGTGCCAATGTGACAGCCAATAACTATCTTATGATAAAACCCTAATATCTATTTGACAGTTTCATTTACATGAGACAGAATCAATAAAAATTTATGTAGTACTCCCAGTCTTGAATATACATAATCCAGAATTTACACATTGGATTTGTAAATAAGAGCTATTCTCCCTCTTGAATGATGATTTTTTTTTCATCTTTTAAAGGGCAATTCATATTTATATTCACATATACCTAAAACAATTCTTTTTCATCTGTGTTATTGGAGAACTACTCAAATATCAGCAGAGAGAAGGATAAAGAACAGGAAGACGCGCCTAACATAACAGCCAAAATAGTTAATTCACTGTAAGGAAATAATCTGTGTAAAACAACATCACAGAGTAAACACCTGAGGAAGTGAAGGTCTTTTCACGTAAAGATTTATGCTGCGTGTGTAAGCCTGTGGTGCCCAAGTATCAATCCACAGACCATAATGTCTTTTTCAGTGGTGTGTAGCTAAATGAAAATAGGACCATTTATTGACTTTTCACAAAGGTAAATTTATTTAATTTGATATTTTTTGTACTCCCTTGACAGGAAAATCTGTTACTTTCTCTCAGGATGGCAGTTATACTGCCAAACGTCCCTACTTGACAAAATTAAAACTTAATAGCCTTATGTTATACTCGAACGTTTTGTGAAACCACATTGATCCGTGCCACTCAGGAGCCGGAGGCACACTGGTGTCCAGCTTTCCACCGGCATGAAGTTCTCGGCACAGGCCTGCGACCCAGCAACGAGGCAGAAGACCCTGGAAGAGAAGTGGCTCCTCTGAAAGGAGAAGTGGCATCTGGTTGTCTCAGGGCCGCCAAGCGCATGACTGCACCCCGTACCTGCCACTCGAGGACAAGCGCGACTCAGCCACCAGGGGCAATGGGACCCAGCGGGGAGCTGAGGTACAAGATGAGATCCGTGGTATCTGTTGATGTCAAAGAAATAGCAACCCCTTGATAAAACGCTGACAGTGCCAGCTTCTGTCACTCCTGGAGGGTCCAGGCCGAGACAGGCTTGTTGTAGTGTGACCACTGGAGCCACAGGAAAGACTGCATGGGGAAGAAAGTGGGGAGATAGGCCGGAAGTGCTGAAATCCCACTGATAGCTCTGCCTACTTTGAAACACCCACCCATTGCAAAGAGAGGGGAGCTCTCTTCAGCATGAGCATCACACAGTCATGACACTATTCATAAACTTTCAGCTCCGACATCAAAAATAAAGACTTCTGTGCTGCAAACGAGACCCTCAAGAAAGTGAAAAGATAACCCACAAAATGGGAGAAAATATTGGCAATTCACACATCTGATAAAGAGTTTATATTTAGGATATCTAAAGAATGCTTACAATTCGAGGGCCGGCCGAGTGGCGGGATGGTTAAGAATTGGCTTGGGACGCCAGATGGCCCCAGTTCGGATCCCACATATGAGGGCCAGTGACACTGCCCTCTACAGCTAAGATGCTGAACAACAGCTCAACCTGGAGCTGGGCTGCTGTGAGTCGCCGGCGACGGCGTAGGTTGCAGCCCCTGCGGCAGTGGGTTGCCATGGGGTACCGTGTGTAGCCGGCACCCAGCGTGAGCGGCCAGCAGCCAGCGTGAGCGGCCAGCAGCCGCAGTGAGTGGCTGTCCAGAAGCCGGCGACTGATCTGCCTCACCTGGGAAGAGCACAATGATGGTGCCAGCTTGGGCCAGTGAAGCAACATCCTCCACAACTAGACTGAAGAACAAAGCGACAGTAACTTGTCTGTTCCCCTTCCCCCGATTCCCCAGTGCTGTTCCCCTCCCCCAATTCCCCAATAAAATCTTAAAAAAAAAAGAATTCTTACAACTCGAAATAAAAAGACAAATAACTGCATTTAAAAATGGACAAAGGATTTGAATATACATTTTTCCAAAGAAAACACATGAAAGACCAATCAGCAAACAAAAAGATGTCCAACATCATTAGCCATCAGAAACATGCAAAGCAAAACCGTAAGACACCACTTCAACCCACCAGGATGGCTATCATCAGAAAGACAGGCAATAAAAAGTGTTCATGAGGATGCAGAGAACTTGGAACTCTCGTACATACTGGTGGGGATGTGAAATGGTACAGCTGCTTTGGAAAACAGCTTGGCAGGTCCTCAAACCATTAAACACAGAAGTGCTATCTGGCCCCAGCAAGTCCATTCCTAGGTATATACCCAAGAGAAATGAAAACATACGTCCACACAAAAACTTGTATACAAATGCTCGCAGCAGCATTGTTCGCCATAGGAAAATCTTAAAACAATAGTAAAATCCTAAAAGGGGAAACAATTCAAATGTCCATCAACTAGTGGGAAACAAAACGTGGTATATTCATACAACAGAATATGATTTGGCTATAAAAGGGAATGAAGTTCTGACACACGCTACATACAACAGGGATGAACTCGAAAACATTACGCTCAGTGAAAAGTCACACATGACTATACTGTATAATCTGTGTACATGAAATATACAGAATAGAAAAATGTACAGAGACAGAAACTATATCAGTAGTTACTTAGGTAGATGGGAATTGACTGATAGTGCACATGGATTTTTTTCTGGGTGAGGGAACAAAAATGTTCTGGTACTAGATAGTGTCGATAATTACACAATCCTATGAATCAACTAAAAACCACTGAATTGTGTACTTTCGATGGGTGAACTGTACAGCATGTGAATTATATGTCAATATACCTTGTTTTTTAAAAAACCATCAGCTGTGGCTCCAACTGAGGAAAATGAGGGCCCAATAGCTGCTCTGCGGTGAAGAGAAAATTTATGGGGCAATGAAAAAAGGGAACCGCGTCTCAAAAAGGGAGTATTCCTCCTACCAAGGGGACATTAGCTTTTCTCTTTCAGTTCAATTGTTTTTTGTTTATTTTTCCTCCTCATGTAAGTAACCTGCAAGAAACGTTAAGATTCACATTCTTTCCGGGCATTGATCAGTCCTCACCCTTTCATTATGAAACAACCTTTCAACTTCTCCAAAGGTTCCCATCTGTAAAATCCAAGTATTAATTAATACCTGTTCTAGGATCCTCAAGGAACTGCTAGAAGGATCAACTAAGAAAATGAATAGAACTAGTCAAGGTCATGGTACAACATTAAAGAGAGAAGGGACTCAGGCTCCAAATTGTATGTGTTTCTGGCGTGAGAACTCCTTAGGAAGATGGTTACCTTTCCTGAGAGACAGAGGAAATTAAAGATAGACATTTGGACGGAGCGATGTTGGGTTTAGATCCGAATATGTTATGTGTAAGGAGTTATGTATTTTGAGTATTAATACTTAGGCAAGTCAGGAGCTCAGGAGAGTGATGGATACTGGAAATTTAAGAAGTGAGAAATATTTAAGAGCATGAGATCAGATCACTCAGGGATAACATGCAGAGTATGGAAAGAGGAAAGCAAGTGAGGTCCAGAGCCAGCAGTGCCTGAAATGGCAGCCTGGAAAAAAGATGGTTAGGAAGCAGCGAGGGAGGAGGCAGGACGCCCGGAGGCAACATTTTAGAAGCCAAAGGAGAGCAGAATATCAACAGAGTCCAAGGCCACACAGAAGTCAGGCAAGGTGAAGGGAGCAATTCACAACTCTCAGGTTGCCAGTGACCTTGGCAAGAAGGTTTCAGAGGACGGCT